TGAGGATATCACATGATGAGGAGATGGCGGGGTTGGATTTAACCAGCCATGGAGGAATGGCATATGAGTATAACGAAAAGAATGGAAGGAATCCGGTATTTGAAGCAACTGTTTGATCTGTTTTTAAATAGAAAACAATAATATTCTCTCGAGTCTGCATAGAAACACCTTATGTGCTTCCTCACTATACAGACGGTAAAATACTAAACTATTATGGATCAATGCTTCACCAATGCTACATAGCTACTGTCTGAATCACTGATATACCCTTTTCCAAGACAGTAATGTATAATCAGTTTCGGGTATTTATATGTTTGTGTTTGTGTTTCTCTGTTCAATAGGTTTGCATCATCAAACACATTACATACAAAATTATTGTTGATAGTATTTTATTTTGTTACAACTATGCTATTCATTAAACATGGCAAGTTAAAAAAAAAAGTTCTCTTGATCCAATGTTATAATGCCCATCCATGATTTTCCATTTGTAGTACAAATTTAATTGGAATCCATTACTCTTATAATTTTAGGAGAGATCGATAGAAAAAATTAGTTGTTTTTCTATGCCAGTTTGGAAGATAAGTTTAGTGGAATGAGTAGAATACCTTATATATGAGTTATACAATGTAGCATTTGGAAGTGTGCTATAGAAGAGTTTATATTGATTTTTTATGAATATAACAAGTGACATGGTGTATTTCTAGGATTGATTCACCACTTCTAATAACAGTGGTTGTATTATAATATTTTAGATAACTCAGGAATTTTTTTAACTTTTAGATTTATTTTTAAATTTATGTAAGGTTTATGTTTTTATTTTTTAAACTTTGTGGTGAAGTTAAAATTCGTCATTATTTTAAACTTTGATATAGTTTGGTTATCAAATTTTAAAATTAATCTTCCTAATCCAGTTCTGTTAATTTGTTTGTGTCAAACGAAGTTTTAGCACTATTGTAAAAGGATGTTTTTGACTTCGTCTAATATGTCTCGGGTTGAATACCGAACCCTATAAATTTATAATAATTAAAAATATATATCATTCTTTTTAAAATATTTATTGTGTATAAAATTGAAATTTATATAGGAACAGATTTGGACAGTCTAATAATCAAAAGTTTAAAAGTTTTTAATAATTTAAAAAAATGTCTCTATTATTTTAAAATATTTTATTTTAGGTATAGGGATATAAGTTTCGATTATAGGTTAAACCAAAACCTATATATATATATATATATATATATATATACATATACTAATAAACTTCAGTTATCTAAAATACACATGTAATTTTATATTTTTTAATTCTATAGTATTAGCAGCATTGCAAGTTTTTCATTTGTTTCTAATATCCTAAGGACCATTTCTTGTTTATAAAGAGTCACTAATAACTAATCACACTTCAACAAAAGGTTAATCCGTTATCTTATTATAACAATTTTAATTATCATATGATTCATTATATGAGAAAATAAAAATTTTGGTAGAGAAAATTTATTTTGTGGTAAGATCTGAAAAAAGTTATTTAGAAATACATTATGTTTTTCTTTTAAATTGAGTATATTTTTCTTCTTTGTCTTCTCTCACCTTTGTCTCGTTTTTGGAAGTAATTAATTTTGAAATTTTTTATATTTTTTAAACTGAGTTTGTGTCGGTTAATTTTTCTCTGATTATATGGTTATAATATTGTCCTATCACTTGGTTACTTCTTTTAAGTGTTAAAAAAATGAAATTACGTTTGTCTCATTTTATCCGGAGGCATCATCCAGTTTCTTCAGTTTAATTAGAACCCATTTTTGCTATAACGCGCGTCCCGTTTATCTTGAAAATGTATCGTATCATTTCTTGTAATTCATCATTTTCCGTCTCCTACCAAATTATGATGCTCTAGCCTCAAAATCTCGATAAAGATTTCAGGTGCAGGTCAGTGTTACTCCAACGTCATCACAATCTTTCATACATATTTTAATATTCATCCATTGCAGAGGTTTAGAATTAATAGAGTTTCATCTGAGTAGTGTTTCTGATGCTTAATCATGAATTCAAATGTGCACATGTTTAATTAGCTTAATTAATTCTTTCTTGTTCGAGTGAGACATTAAAATATTTGTCTTTTTACTTTCCTTTTAAAGAAATATTTTTGGGTACATCAAGGGGTGAAAGGACGTGCAAGTCATGGAAGATGAACGCAGAGACAAAGACAAAGACAAACACGCAACAAAATCTGACAACTCAGGGACCCAATTAAAAGTTCTTATTGTAGATGATGATAAGGTTGTTCGACTGACTCACAAAATGCTGTTGGACAGAGTTGGGGTAAAAGATCACGTTGCTGTGGAAAATGGCAAAGAAGCAGTTGAACTTCACAACAATGGTCAAAGTTTTGACCTGATTCTCATGGACAAGGACATGCCAGTCATGAATGGAACTGAGGTACGTAAATATTATTTTCATGACAGATTCCTGGGTAGGGAATTCAAAACACTATCTTGATTAGGTTTTGTTTATATTCTTGAATGTTTGGTGTGTGGTAATGAAACATTTATTTAGTGAGATGCACGTGCATATGTGTGTGTGATGAAACTTTTACACAGGCAACAAGGACACTTCGTTCAATGGGCGTTAGTTGCAAGATCTTTGGTGTGTCGTCATCAACCTCTAATCAGATATATGTAAAAGAATTTGTTGAAGCAGGGCTGAATGGCTTCTACACAAAACCCTTGACTGTTAAAATTCTTGGTGAAATTCTTGAGAAGATTAAGTCATGAAAAATCCAAACTTTGTGTAATGGATGCAGTGTAAGTAAACAATGTCAGTTTTTGTTAGTACTGTGAACACAGAGAAGTTTTGTATGTACAAAAATAAGGAGAAAATTCCAAAATGACTTGTTATTCTTGATCAATCTTGCAAAGGGTTCCTTATTCAATTCTGCTTTCTGTTTCGAAGTTCCAACTAACTTTTAGATCGAGATGTATAACTGATTTTGATGTGTTTTCAACTGTATAGTTTTTGGGTGTTTGATCTATTATATGGGTCAAGTTTCACAGTAATTGCATAATAATACAGTGATCATTTAATAATCACATAGCTAGCTATGCTGGGTTCTTAAACATAAATATAGTGTCAAAATTAATTAATATGATATGTTCTTTTCTCCTTTTCTACATGGATAAGATTTCAAGGGTATAATCAAATTATTCTGTAATAGAGGGTCTAAGTTCAATGCAGGTTCAATAATGATATAGATTCTCAAACTGGGTCAATATGTGCCTAACTAAACAACTTTGCACATGTAATCTGTAGTTTACCCAGTCAAGATATCAGCACATTAAATATTCTATATGACCAGTTAAAATATATATGACTTTTCACTCAATGTGATACATGCTTTGTGAGCTGTAAATAGAACTCTCAAAGCTGTACTCATATATATATATATATATATATACACAAAATGTTATGGATCAGTAGGGTCCATGTTTCCAATTCATAATATATTCTTAAGCTAACCTATTCTTCCTTTTTACTTACTTTTTTTTTATGAAAAAAATACAAAATTTAATCTTTTACTACCATTTTATTTATGTAAGAATAACATGTGTTAAATGAATATAAAATGTATATTATCCTATCATTATTTTTAACTTTACTAAAAAAATCATTATAATATTACTTTCAATTATAATTATTATTTTTAGAAGCCAATGATGTCCAAGAATCCTATTCATAGTCGCAGTCCAAATCCAAACACAATTATTTACGAGCTACTGAAGATGTCAGTGTCGGAATTTGATAGCTTTAGGTGGAACCTGTAAAATCAAAGTGGTAATGTGTGCTCCTCGAAAAAAGAGAAAACCACTTTTTGTTACATGATCGAGATTACTCCCTTGCTAAGTGACAGGATATGCTGAAAAACCATGAGGTCCACCCCATGAAAAAATTGGTCATGCCACACTTTGGAGAATATCCTCTTTGTCGATTACGTACGTAAAGATGTAGATTATTCCTCATTCAGTGTGTATTTCTGGTATGAAAATTCTATATTCGGTGCAATGGACCTTGTATTTCTGTCTTACAGAGGGTTTCCCTTGGACAGTATTTGGGAGCATGGAATAAGATGAAGCTGACTCGTTCATATATACGTGTAACAGTGATGCAGTCTAAACATGTCATTATTATTCTTTCATTCATCATCAAAGTCCAATATTCCACAACTCTTGTTTTTGTAATTGAGTTTCCAAATCTTATTCTGTTGAAAAGGTGAGCCAATTTTCATGATCGCTGTTGCATAAATCTGTCTTTACTAATTGCCAACTGTGAAACCAATCTTCCTTCTGAATTGATACTAAAACAGTGAATTATGTGTCAATTTACTTTAATCATGCGTGTTTAATCAACTTAATCAACCATGTTTCAAAGAACATGGTCTTAGGCTGCTGATTTTTCTTTAACGAATAGACCGGGAGACTAATGTAATCTGATATATTTGAGCAAGAAAACATATTTTCAACTTAATTTAGAAATTTGACTTTGTATTTTTTCTGTTTAAGCCTTGTCGTGTGTTTTTCACTTATTGTCTCCTTTTATTTGCTAAAACAGAAAAAAAAAAAAAACATCCTCAGATTTTCAGAATCTGCACAAAATCCGAATCTTGTGTACGTGTGAATATTAACTACATGGGATAGCCATAAATAGGCATAACACTCAAACAAACTTGCTTTATATTCACACATTGATAGTTTCTTCGCTCTCATTCTTGCTCTGCCATATCTTTCTTGAAACTCATTTTTACTCCTAAGTCATTCCTCTCCTACTCATTGTTGCTCTAGTTTCAAGATCGTGAGAAGATATTTCTGGTGCAGGTCAATTTACTCCCACACATCATCTTGAAATCTTCATAATATGTATTTAGCAGATGCATATTCATGCACAATTTCACAGTTTTCATCTATGATACTTGGAATATTTATATCTTGTGAAGTGATCTGAAACCAAGTCACTGGTATGCAGCAGGTAGGATATTATATTTACGCGTTGGGATGATGAAAATATACACGGTTCTTACATTCTTATGGTGTTTAGTCTGTGGTTATGCGTGCTGCACAGTGTATTTTGTAGTACTAGGTTATACATAGGTATTGTAAATCTTCTTCTTTGCTGATCGTGAGCTGAAATATATGTTTTTTTCTTGTTCAGGGAGAAAGTAACAAAGGCATATATACAATGAAACCTAAGAACTCAAGTTCTCAATTGAAAGCACTTGTTGTGGATGATGACAGAGTCAACCGAATGACTCATCAAGCGCTGTTGAAAAAGGTTGGGGTGGAAAATCTTGCTTCAGTGGAAAATGGGAAAAAAGCAGTGGACCTTTACTGCAATGGTGAAAGTTTTGACCTAATTCTCATGGATAAAGACATGCCTGTCATGAATGGAATTGAGGTACGAAGTTAACTAATTTCACAACATGGATATCTGGTCGTGCATGCATGCATGTATAAGTTATACTTAGATTTTGTTGCTGCTTGTTCTTATTTAGGCAACAAAGCAACTTCGTTCAATGGGAATTCGTGACATGATTGTGGGTGTGTCATCATCATCACGTGGTGCAGAGAACGTACAACAATTCATGGAAGCAGGACTAGATGAGTACTACACAAAACCCTTGACTGTTGATACGCTCAAAGCAATTCTTGATAAGATCAAATCATGAAAATCCAACATTTTACCATGTTAGGCAACAACGTGGACAAATCTCTATGTTGAATAATGTGATATGTTTCTATAAAATGTAGAGAAAAGTTCAACATCGTCTTTTATTCATCAACAATATTGTCAACTTGTAGCAGTTCATTGATCTTTTCTGTAACTTTATAAAAAGGGGTGGTGGTGATACACACACCCCACATTCTAATGAGCACTTATCCAACACCAATTATCATATTTTTATTTTAAAATATAAAATAATTTAGGAAAAATCTACTACAAATTTTAAAATGTTATTTCCCTATTAGGTGTCAAGTGAATTCATGTAAAATTTTCCTTTATAAAATGAAAAACAATAAACTTTCATAGATAAACTAATTTGTGAAATTCTCTTATATTAACTTCTCAAAAACTTTTGTACAATCTAAATGTAACTTACTGAAAACATTTATTTGTTCGTTGTTGGCTCAAGTTTCATAATAATTTCACAATAAATAATCCAACTATTTAATAATTATTTTATTTATTTTCAGAATTATTCGGTCTTAAAGATACATATCTTGTGAAAATTAATCCTATTTGATGTGATGTTTTATTTAACCTATTTATGTTAAAGTGATTATTGAGACAGACTAAGTTCAATGGAGGCTTGATAATGATAGATTCTCAAGCTCTAAGTGATGTGTGCCTAACTAAATAATTGGAGGGGACACCATGTTATATAAATGAAGGGACAGAATCTAGGGTGAAAGAACATAACATGTTATAACAACAGGAAATATATTTGTATTGATAAATTTTCTTTTGTATTTTTTAATGAATGATGACTGAAAATTTATTTTTATTTATCTTTTTTTTTCTCAAATTACCCTTTATTTATTCTTAGTTGCACGTTCTCCTTTTCTCATTCATTTTCTAAAACTGACATCTTGTAGCAAAGCAAACAAATTGTTTTCGAAAAATTGAAACAAAACCAAGTTGATTTTTTGGCACTGAATAGTGATGGTTTTGAGGGAAAGAAAAATATCTTCATTATTAATTTAAAATTAATGATCATATTATAATTATATTGTAACTTATAACGTATAAGTAACCGTAGTTCATATTAAAGTAAACATTACATCAAAGAAAGAAAAATGACATCTTCTATTATTTACTATAATTAATTTGACAAAATTTTCAATCAATATTATTAAAAATTTATGCATCACGCAGGTTCACTAACTAATAAATGTAAGTATGGTTATATAAGATTGACTCAAGCAATAATTAAGTGCGTATATAGTATTAAAGAAAAAGTAAAGTATATGTTTTCAGTTTTTTTTTTTATCATCATATGTTTTTAGTTTATGATAAGTAAATTTGAATTTAAGCTCAATTTCCTCATATCTAAAATTTGAATTTTAAAATGATTATTAATTTCGATCTTTTCCTCCATGATTAAAATTCTAAACTAGAGTCATCTTTATATGGAAGGATTGAACACATTTGTCAGGGAATAAATAATTTCTAACACATGATGACTATTTACTAATTAGGTTAAATGCTTGCTTGGAATCACTAGTAAATTTTCTAAAATTGAGAAAAAAAAATTTAGTCTACAAATATCGAGTAAGTGAAGAGAAAACAAAATTTTACTATTCCTAATACATGGTAATTGTGAATTTAACATAAATTATTGATACAAATTATTTATCATTATTGGAAGTAATATAATTTGAGAGTCATTCATCACTTAGTTAAAAAATACAAGTTGTTATCAATTGTGTAAGTTTACGTATTGATGTGAGTTTTAAAATTTGTTTTACTCCTTTTTAAGATATTAAGGTAACCAATAACATTATACAAGAATTAATAACAAAAGGTTCAATTGCCTCATGATATATAAGTCAAATTTATTAATTTTTTTCTCATGTTTGATCTCTCCTTAATTCTACATAACAACAACAAAATATATACATTAAAAAAATACAACCAATTAAGGACGAATTAAAGTTGTATACTAACATGACCTTGTTAGAAGGAAAATGAAACATACTACGTATAATGAGTCAATGTTTCTTATGGATCTCCTGAAAATCCACCTACTTCATCTTTCTGTTGAGCAACATCCCCCTATTCAATAACATACTTCTGTTGTTCTTCAATGACATCAACATCAACTTCTTAAGTTCGTCAAGTGATGTCGTAGGTCTTCTTCTTGTTTCATCCTATGATGAATTATCCCCACGATAGATAAATGTACCTCTTATTTTAGCAATATCTTTTAACTAAAATATATAAAATTAAAAAATTAAAAACCAAAAAAAATAACATTAATAAAAAAATCAAAAAAATATAAAACAAGCAATTAAAAAAATTAAAAAAAAATCATACATAAAAAAAAACAAATAAAAACAATTGCAAAATTTAAAAGAACCAGCAAAATGTGTAATAAAAAATTAAAAGATAAACAAAATCTATAAAATTAAAATCAAAAATCAAAAATTAAAAAGAAAATATAAACATATTTTAAATGTTGATGAAGCGTTAACCAGCTTTTGAAAGTCGACGAAAATTTAATCAGCTTTCGTAAACTGATTAAGGTCGTGACAGTCTTCAAACGTCAACGAAGGTTTCAACGCAGCGTTTTCATTTTCCTTTTCACGATCAACTCCAAACATACCCTCCTACGCATTCTCTTTATGCATTATTCAATATATTTCAATCAAAAGCACAAACACATTCTCTCTATGTATTATTCAATACATTTGAAGCACAAACGAAAACAGGACAACGAGGACCTCTACATGAACGACGAAAAAGAATAGCTGCACCGAGAAAAATGAAAGATAGTACTGGACCACCAAAACAAGAGCGCAAAGAACAACCACCATTGGCATAAGGGGACAAGTGCAACGACAACATAGGGAAATCAGTGCAAGTGAGGCGTGGAAGAGAAGAGGGAGTGTGGCTGCATGACTGCACTAGGGTTTCGTGGGTTTAAAGAAAGAAGTGAGAGAAGAATCAGAATAAAAAAATTTGGTCAAAGATTCTCTTCCTGTATCAGAAAGTTAAAATTGCAATTTTTTGGAAAAGTTAGAGATGCAACTAGAAACTGGTGAGGTGCATAGAGAACCAGAACCACTCTTCGTGTACACAATACAAAGCTGAAAATAAATGAATTTAGTAACACCAATCTAAACCTCCCAATTAGACATTAGAAACCACTTTCAACATTTGTGAAATTGACAAGACGGTTTCTGATAAAAAGGCAAAACATGAAATCTGGAAGACTAGAAATATATCATAATATCTATAATTTGTAAGTGTAGCATGTTAATAGTTTGCAAAAATCAAGTTTACAAATGACTAATGTACAAACATGAAAACCCCTTTCCCCAATAAAATTACTAAAAGCATTGGAGAGCTAACTATTTCAGAAGCATCATTCCAGACGCTTTCATGAATTAGTCCGAGAAGGTAGGCTCTCCACCTCACGAACTAAATTACACTCTTCCTACCATCGTGTGTTAACCTTGTAATACACTAACTACATAACTAATCATTTATCTTCATCCTCAGAATCTGACTTGGCAAAAACTGGCTCAGGTTGGGTTTCTGCGTATGCTGGAGCAATGAATTTTGGATCCTTCGCTGCAGCATCAGCATATTTCAGGATAGCTTCCCTTGGATCTTCCTCCATCCATGTCTCCTTAATCATGCCCCCTTTCTGTAATAATTACGTTAAATGTAAGTACATTCCACTTTCTCATCTAAAGCATGAAAACTCGGAAGTCAAGAAAAATTAGACAAAAGTGTTCAAAAATACAAACACACCTTTAGAAGATACTGGGTCAGTAAGCTTCCTTGACTAGTACCAACTCGTCCACCAAATCCAGGACCTGTAATTGGTAATTCAGGTTTATGGGACTTCAATGGATCCTTCAGCACTTTCTCTCGCTGTCGCTTTCGGCTTGGCTGATCTCTAAATAGTGGTAAAGCGTGAGGATTGTGAATGACAGGTTTTGCCTCAAAGTCATCAATTGATTTTTTCCTTGGTGCACGTGCAACACATACAAGAGCTCCTCTCTCACTTAGGGTTGGATCATATAGTACGTGAGTCCCTCCTTGACTTTTATCACCAGTAGTTGCAAGTATCTATAGAAGATATAGTTCAGATACAAGTGATAAGCACGAGAAACAAATGCAGTTCAGAGAATGCAAGCCGATAACAGAAAATTGTTAACACAACTGTGATATTGAGTTACCTGATTCAGTTTAGGATGCCAATAACACTGAACAACACTGCAAGTGGATGATATGCCAACTCTTGAAACAAGCTCAAGGTTTAATCTATCGAAGAAGCACAATAAACCTCCTGTCGAGCTCTCCCTTTCCACAGATGTTCCAGTCAAAAAGAGTTGCTCATCGGGACTGAAGGCAATATTTGTTTGTCCATAGTGATTTGGCAGATCCTCAAATACCTTTAATGGTTCCTTTATTTTGCGTAGATCCCAAACCTGAGGCATAATTCATTGATCAATAGATAGTCAGGATCGTCAGATGTACTGCATGCCTAAAAGAAAATAGCAACAACCTTTAAGAAGATTTCAGATATGTGATCTTTTATTTACCTTCAATGAACCATCAAAACTCCTTGACAATAAGATTCTCCCATCACTAGAAAATTTCAGACCACTAATATCATCTTCATGTCCTTTTTCAATGTGTAGATCTGGCCTACTCCCCCAACCAGGCTTAATATTCCAAATCTGTTAAAATTAATGACCGTTCAGGAGAAAACTAACTGTTAACACTGTTTCGCGTAAGCTTAAAATCAGCATCTATTGACTTTCTTGCTTGGTAACATCAGAGTAAAAAAATGATACCTGGATCGAACCATCTCCTATACCACCAGCAATGCATTTACCATCACGATCCCATGCACATGTGGTTACAGGAACTCTTCCAGGTCTTGCGAGCTTTGGTTTAATGACCTAACCATTGAATGATAACAACAAAACTTCAATAATATCAAAAAATTGTAAAAAAAAGCATAAATTTATCACAATGCCGATGATTTCCTTATAACCACATGCAAAATAGAAGTCAATAATAGTACAAGTAATACTAGAAGCAAGTAAGAGATGCCTCCAGCCACTTTTCTGTATAAAGGCTAAAGTTTTATTTCAAGAAAATCCAAGTAGCCCCCCATATATGTTTGAAAGGCTCTTTACCCCCGAGCAGAAGAAAGGATTTTAAGACAATGCCGATGATTTCCTCATAACCACATGCAAAATAGCAGTCAATAATGGTACAAGTAATGCAAGAAGCGAGAGATGCATTCAGCGACTTTTCTGTATGAAGGCTAAAGTTTTATTTCAAGAAAATCCAAGTATTCCCACATATATGTTCAAAAGGCTCTTTTCCCCTAAAGTGATTAAGTACAAAAAAAATCAGTGCATGGAGCAACTCAAATGAAAACATTTACAATGGAAGAAGACTGGTAAAATAGCAGTCAATAATGGTACAAGTAATGCCAGAAGCGAGAGATGCTTTCAGCGAATTTTCTGTATGAAGGCTAAAGTTTTATTTCAAGAAAATCCAAGTAGGCCCCCATATATGTTGGAAAGGCTCTTTTTCCCCCAAAGTGATTAAAAGTACAAACAAAATCACAGTGCATGGAGCTACTCCAATGATAACATTTACAATGGAAGAAGACTGGTAAAATTCCTAAACCTGCTTCTGACTTTTGAAGTCATTAACATCCCATATGCGTAGTGAGCCATCTTCTGATGATGTTAAAATGGTCTCTTTAGTTTTTGGATGCCACTCTCCACATGTCAATCCAGATATGTGGCCCTTGGTATTCTTTAAATCACGAATATACATGTCTCCCTTCACAAACTCTCCCAAAGTAAGCCCATCTCGGTCATAAATCTGTGGTAGGACAAAAAGCAGAATTAATGCAGGATCACACACAAACACAAAAAACTAGCAGAAAGTGATGCCATCCCTACCTTTGCTTGAGCTGATCCAGTGACGCACAAAAAGCGATCAGCAGTTGGACTCCAGCTTAAATTGCGAACTTGATGACCTTCAAATGGCTCCAGCTGACGAAAAGATTCCAGTCGAGCATTCATTCCTTGAAAGTCATACATTCGTACTGTATAGTCATAGCTTCCAGAAAGCACTCTTGATCCCGTATGATCCACAGCAAGAGCTGACACAACCTGTTAATATTTCCCAGGAATTATCATTAACAAATTACTCCCATACACAACTGGTTTCCTTTCCTATCACTTTCAGATTTGGAGAACCTACAGCCGGTGCTGGCCTGTCTTGGGTTCTAGTCAAATTGTGAAAAATGATACACGACTACAATTTCAGTTGCATAATCAAGGTTAAAGGTTTTTCAAGTCTCCATGATTACAATTTATGCCACTTTGGTCACATACGTCAGACACAGCTGCAAAACGTGATTTAAAACCTTAGTTCTAATTCAGTACATAGTTGTTGTATCCTGATACGATTGGCCTAGGAAGGGGAAAACCTGCCCATAAACCTAAATGGTGAAAAAATCAAATTGGATGGGCCTAGCATATTATGTATTTCAATTTTAATTTTAATTATAAATCCCTAAAGAAGTTGATGACATTGACAGGGTTGTTATCCAATACCTAGCTATTTAATTTAGGGTTCTAGTAAGGAGCCAATGAAAAAATATGAATTATTTCTAGTAGCAATCTGACCTTCTTCATAGTCTCTTTATAGTTTACAGTAGCTGCAGCGCTGATACTTTCCATCATGCCCCACTCGTTAAAAAAAGAACAATTAATTGCAGCCAAACCACGACTTATAGCTAAGCTAAAAGCTAAAGTAATTCACGATATTCGCGAACCCTTGGGGTTTCAATGGATTATCGTAAGACTTAAAAAGAAGGTAAGCGCCCAAGAATTGAAATTCTAGAGACTAACAAAGCTAGCATTCAAAAACCTAGCGTTTGGGAATCAGAAATAAAAATATATATCGTTTTTCATTAATTTCAGGAAGCAATACCTTGGTATGGCCCTTGAGAACAATTTCGTTACTAAGGGGAATCCGGAAGCGGGTCCCTACTTCGTCTTCATCCGAATCATCTTCGGACTCCGACGCGTTCGGTGGCGGCGGGGGCGGGCCAATCATGTCGCCGTCCCCGTCGTCGTCGTGGGAAGCTGAGGGCGGAGGCGGAGGAGGTCCCACGAGAGGGGCATCGTCGTGATCGGTAGGCGGCGGTGGGATAGGGGTTTTGGAAGGACGGAGGGAATTGAGCCATTCCCTGGAAGAGGAGGACAGAGAGGGAAGCTGGTTGGTGGTTTTGGAATCGGAATTGGAAGTGGAAGTTGAACGACGTGTCGCATTGTGGATGGATTCCAGAGGCGTTTGAGGCTTCGATTGCTTCCCGAACGACAGAGGAAACTGAGCTCTAGCACCATCGTATATGTCACCCTCCTCCTCCATTCTCTCCACACTACAAAAACCAACACAAAATTCTATTACTGCTACGTTTCGTTCTCTATTTTTTTTCATATACTTTATTATTGGTCCTTCTATTTTCTTCAGACCGGACCTCAGAAATTTTTATCCACTTTGGGCTTTTGCTTCCTACAACGCATCATTACTAATCGCACCCCTATTGTAACAACTTGATTTGAAAAGTATTATACTTCACGTGTTATAGAAAGGAAATTTTGTTCTAAATTTTTTTATTAAATGGGTCTCATATGTTATGAAAATATTGTTCAGAAAATCTTATTCTAAAAACTTCATTATAGAAATTTCATTTTAATCATATTCTGAAAATTTCAAAATGTTTATAGCAGACAATTTCCAAAAAAGATCATCTAGAGGTCACTTTTGTAAAAGGCATAAGGGTTATTTTGAAAATTAGGACGTGCATCAAGAATTTGTAGGGGTATAGGAAGTAAAACGTCCCATTTTGTCATCTTCGGCTCATTACCTCTGTCAGCTCAATGGGTGTTGCTCCCTCCATCACTACACCTTACTTCTTCCACTTCTCCAATTTATTTATTTTTTTCAAAAATATTCTTAGGTTAAACTTTTTTTACTTTTACCATTAACTTTTTATACTTTTAATTAAAAACTTTAATTTTATATCTTCATTTCAGCGCACACCACACCCACCTCCCTCTCTCTTCTTCTCTCTTTTCCATTTCCGTCACCAACCCTTACACTGCCTCCCACTCTTTTCCTTCTCTTTCCCATTTCTGTAATAATTTCTGTAAATACAAGCATCTTTGCTCAAAATATATGCATTGATGTTTTTGTCTCTTTTTTTTTTCTAAAACTATTCCATTCTTACAAATTTCAAGTCTAGTCAATTATTATCTCCTTCACATGTACATTATTTTTCAATTCCCAATATCTTAAAGCAACTGCTCTTTTAATAGATATTATGATATGTTAAACTAATATAACAATATCTCCTTCCAGTTATTTGTTGTTTATTTCATATTAGTTTCTATGGGGGTGGGGGAGGGGGGTGAGGATGGGTGACAGAAACGGGAGAAGGAGAAGAGAGAGAGGGGATGAGTGTGGTATGCGTTGGAAGGAGGATATAAAATTAGGATTTTTAATTAAAAGTATAAAAAGTTAATGATAAAAGTAAAAGAAAAAATTAACTTAAGGATATTTTTGGAAAAAATAAATTGGGGAGGTGGAGGAAGAAACTGTGGTGGTGGAGGAAACAACACCCCAGCTCAATTCTTATTAGAGAATCAAACCTTTATCCAATCCACAACATTTTGTATAAGAGAAAAAAAGTTTAATTTTAATGAATTGTTAGCCATCTTATACGGACAAGAAATTTAAAATTATGTATTTATTTTAGATTAATTATTATAAGCAATTCAAATAATTTTACCTTATTTAATGAGCTTATATTTCAGATACCCTTCATTTAATTGATTTTTATTTTTGAAAAGTTCTCTTGTACTCTTGACATTTAGACATTTTTAAAAAAAATTATTATTATAAATAAATAGTATTGTAACTTCTTTATTTAGTTTGAATTATTATTTTCTATTTTCAAGAAACAAGATAATGGATTTCATTATGATTAAATTAAATCTCAATAACATTCATATGAAGTAACTGTCTTTAAATTATATCTAAACACAGTTATAAATAATTAATAAATTTTGTCTATAACTCAATCCTTACTGCATCATTATTATTATAAGTATGATTTAATAAAGCTAAAATACTGGTATATTGTATATTTTTCGATTACCATTGGTCGACCACTTTGAGTCGATTATTTTGTTTGATCTATTTAGACTAATCATTTTTGATCGATTTATTTAGGTTAACCATCATTGGTCAACCATTCTAGATCGACTACTTTTGGCCGAGTATCCTTTGAGCGATCATTCTTGGTCGACCATCCTTTGGTCGAACTTTGGAAAGATCATTTGTGGTTGACCACCTTAGGCTTCCAGATACATGAACAACACATGCATCATCACAGCTAATGCTTTTTACTTGGTCACCTACTAACTTTAGTATCAAAGTATCCTATGCAAATATATCATACAAATAGTTTGAACATACGAGAAACTCCTTATACCAATAACACTTGGATTTGGAAGTAACTAATTGGAGACTAACCAATTAATGTAAAAATCACTTAGAATCCGACCAATTGACAAATACTTGCCTAGTCCATCCAAACAACTAGTAAAGTTGAATTTAAGAATTCTTAGTCTCATATAAGTCAAAAAATATAATAATAACAAAGCTATTAAACCAATCCATAAAACACCAAAGCCAAGCGTGTAAGGATTATTATTATTAACTTAATTTATATCAAAACTAGTAAAGGAAGAGAAATCCAAAGAAAGTGATTTTTTTCACAGATTATAATTATATTGAACAAAAAAACATTTTTTTATTGGATAGTATCAGGGTATGTTTTCATTAAAAAATTAAATTTCTAATTAAATTTTAAATGTCTCATAAAGTTGATAATTTTCGATTAAGTTTTTATCAAAACAATTTGTTCCATTAAAATCCAAAAATTTAACCTACTATATATGGACTCAAATTAAATATTAGTGATAATAACATCACCCACTTTTTTGGTCTTTCCCCCCTTCTTGTTCACATAATGGGAAAATGCAGTAGCAAAGCAAAGGTCCACAACACCAACAAGAAAGTTAATATATTTTTCTTCGAATTTCAATCAAGTAACAAACAAAAAAAAATAGTAATTTAATGCTGCGTATCTGTTTTAATTTTTTTTTGTGGGAGGGTAAGCAATGAAGTCACCATGCTTATTTGTTTATGGAGAATTGATGGAGTGTAGTGACTGAGGTTGTAAGTAGGGGAGTAATACCTTAAAAGGTGATGCTTGCTTATTGGATGTATATGGAAGAAGCTAGAAAAGATTACAGTCTTAAAATTTGGAAAGATAAATTATTGATTTATATGGTGACATTAAATTTGCTGTTGATATCGTGTAACGAAGGAAAAAGGAACAAGAATTTTATATGTTCCTTAAATTTTTCTTTTTTACTAAATGTGTCACCCAAATCCAAAGTCTTACTTGGTTTCATCCTGATTTTCTTTCCATGTTTTAGTTAAATAAGACAGTGTAAGAAAATATTTACTTAAAATATTGCAAAAAGACTCGTAATTGATGATATCACCCGTAATCTTTTGTTTAATCCAATGAAGTAGTAAAGCTGAATTACAGGAAGCAGATGATATAGTGGCGAACTTGAAATTCCTCTGTGCCCGTCATCAGTGACAACGTTGCTCCTAAGCCGCCCATGTGGTTGTCACTATCCTTCATATACATGTTTAAATATCACATCATCATCATCAACATCATCATCTCGTCTTACATTAAACTAAACACAGAGTAAGAACCTTGTCCAGTTACCATGAGTTAAACATTGAGAGAAATCTGCATTGGCTTTTTTTCTGTGCGCTTTGATTCTTGAAGGCTGGAACTTTGGATTGTCTTTTGAAAATGGAGGAAGAGGGTAGTGTGAAAGCAGGAAGTAGTCTCCGAGCAGGCAGTACTAGGAGTAGTTTGAGGATTGGGAGTGTATCAGTTTGGAGGAACAGTGGTGTGGAAATGTTTGGCACCTCTTTCCACCAGGAAGATGATGAAGAGGCTCTTAAATGGGCTGCCATTCAGAAACTTCCTACCATGGCACGTTTGAGGACAGGCTTGCTGACTTCACCTCAAGGGGTTGCCAATGAGATTGATGTTCATCAACTGGGCTTGCAAGAAAGGAGAGGTTTGCTTGAAAGACTTGTCAGAGTTGCTGAAGAGGACAATGAGAAGTTCATGCTCAAGCTCAGGGAACGCATTGATAGGTAAGTGCAACACACTAGAGTCTGTGTAATAATGGAGTTTGGATTGTTTGCATCAGGTCTTAGATTCATCAGATTCAAATCTCATTGTCATCATCATTACACAATATAAAACATGTTTAACTGAATGCTTTTAGAATGCACTATTGATGACTTCATTTTTGGAATGGATGGTGTTAGAGTTGGAATTGCCATTCCTACAATAGAGGTCCGATTTGAGGGCATGAACGTTGGAGCAGAAGTTCATGTTGGTAGTAGAGCTGTGCCAACTCTCACTAACTACATGGTTAACAAAGTGGAGGTAAGTGTAGCAATACCGATCTTAATTAACAGTATTAACCTCTTTGAAGTAGATTTTCATATGCATTTTACTTCTGTTGGCTTTTAAAGGGGCTATTGAACTTCCTACATCTGCTCCCAAGTAGAAAACAGCATATAAACATTATCCAGGATGTTAGTGGAATAATAAGGCCTGCCAGGTAATTAACAATTAACCTTGAAAATACTTGTATTATGTTACATTTCATTTGTGTTGAAACGATTACAGACAGAAACAGGTCACAAGGGATAGTACACACAAATATTCCTATTTATAATGAAGAAGTACTATAATAAGAAACAAAACTTGATATCTAATGATGAAAACATTTTGTATCAAATCATATCATGTCTTTCTATCCAATGTATCGAATCATATTTCTAAATCTCTCTAACTATTTGGAAGACAACACAACAATCTTAAACAACATGTCACTGTTTGTTTTTCTCCAGAATGACATTGCTGTTGGGCCCTCCAAGTTCTGGGAAGACCACTCTCCTGTTGGCCTTGGCTGGAAGACTTGATTCAAAACTTAAGGTTGAGCGTATATTTAATTGTTAATTGATGGTGTCATGCGTATGCTCGTATTTTCCATTTGTTATTTTGGCTAACGAGTTATAACTTCTTGATCAGTTCAATGGAAAGGTGACTTATAATGGCCATGGGATAAATGAGTTTGTACCCCAACGAACTGCTGCTTATGTCAGTCAAAATGATCTTCATACTGGAGAAATGACAGTCCGAGAAACCATGGCCTTTTCAGCACGAGTCCAAGGAGTTGGACCTCGTTATGGTTAGCTCACACTACAATTTCGAAATCATATGCAAAAATTTCATAAGAAA